ATCATGTATCTATGTTGAAAAAAATTAAATTTATTTCAGTTCAATACCTATTGCAGATATCATCAGGTTCCTTTGTGTAACACGACAATGTCAATGGAACCAATAAGTTAAATGTTTTTGTAGACTCATTGTAAAGTCAATGAGTTAATGATTATTACAGTTAAAAAAATTTTTATTTCAAATACTTATTGCGAAATTATACAGGTTCTTTTGTATAAACAACATAACAAAATTAATGTTTATGGTATTAAGCAATTGAGGTTAAGATTAATAAACGTTAATAAACACAACTACATGTAGAATTAATGTAACGCTTTTTTAATTATCATAGACAGTTACTGTCAACAAAACATTAAAATGAATAATTTTGTTTGTATCACATTGTAAAATCAAACTTTTATATTCTTTTGTTATCATAAATATGTTCAAGAGTTTGTAAACACTTCAATAATGATGATAGCGCTAATTAGTAGTATTTATACGGAAGAGATCTAGCTTTTCAAGCTGTTTGACTTCGATAAAATCCTATCAATAAATAACTCAGTTATACTAAAGCATGCGCATCGTTATTAAATTCGTGTAGAGACAACTAAGTGGAATTAAAACAGTATATCAATAGAATTTGTTTAAAGTTTGCATGGTTTTAGAATGTCAAGAAAAGGAAAATTTTAGTGAAATTTTATTCTATTCGACTGGCTCCTATCTGATTTATTTCCTTAGAAAAAAAAAGATTAACTCAAGGCCGTCGAACATTGACCTTTGTTAGGGAACAGGGTAAATGTCTGTTAATTATTCCTTACATGTGTTTTAATCGATGTGATATGTAAAACAAAACAATGTAAACTTATTAAAATAAGGTAATTAGCACAATATGTGGTATTTTTATTTGTATGTATTACAACACTTTGAAATTGGTTATATTAAGTTCAATTGATACTTATAGACACTTCAATTACTTTTTGTAGAGCACCACATGAGTTAATGCGACCAAATTATTTGCTTTGAAACCATGTCAGGTTATGGAATGCGAGCAAGTTTGGGTAAATAATAACACCTACAAATAGTTTATAGCACAATTGATTAGGTATACTAAGCGGAATTTACAAATAACGACACCCGCACTATGTTGTGCATGTCTTATTAATAGAGTTTAAGATATTCACTTATATGTCATAGGAACGTAAGCAGTATTTCTGTTTTAAACTAAACTATATAATTATTATGATTTTAGTAAATACAATTTGTTAAAATAACCTAGTATATGAATTATAAATTATAAATCATGGTTAAGTTATAGTATAATGATTTTAAATGTTTAATTTCCACTACGAACTTCTGTTGTGAAATAATTTTACGCAATTATTTCTTAGGGGTAAGCATTGACAGAAGTGAAACCTTCTCATAATAATTTTGTACAAGGATAATATAATATAATAATGTCAACATTGATTCATGTAGTCAAACCAGCACTTCCTTTCTGCCTAGACAGCTTAAATGATGTTACATGTACGCAAACAAATTTAATTGTTAACTTTTAGGTAATTGCGGAAATTAGAAACAAATTATGCTTACACAAATTAACATGAACGTTAAAGCTCAGCAGTCATTAGTCATTGCCTATAAATATTGACAAAGAAAAGAAGTAAAACCGTAATAGTACATACATAAAAAATGATAATTATTTCTCAATACTCTAGCAATTAGTATAATGATATATATTTATAAGTAACGGTTAGTTAACCCTTACATTCCAATTGTTTTGCTCTGTTCATTGTTGTCAAACATATAAATGGAAAACGTTCCAAGCCATCAAAGTGACGTCTGATTGTGATACACCGTGAAATTGAAATTGCAAGATAATTGAAATCAGTTTAAGTGTATTCCAATATGTCTGCAAAAACAACCATAATACTTTTATCATATTTTGTGATGAAGTATTTATTTTCATATATTTAAAGATCACCAAGAAAAGTTTGATTTATTGTCCAGACATTTATCACTCAAACATGACATTTAACAAGAAGATGCTTTTTGCTGCTTCACATTTTTTATTACTTTTAGATACAGTTGTATTTTTCTTTCATTCCCCGAATAGAAAAACAGTTATACGTAATTTTTCGATTTCATTGGTCTACTGCTTAAGCTCATCAAAGGCATATTCTGCCCCAGAAATAAATAGAATTTGGACTTTAGAAAGGTCAAACAGGAGTTTTAAAATATATAAATAACGATTATAGACCATGTGAGCTACTTATCATCATCTGCAAAATGTGGTAAAAACTTGTCATAAAAGTTGCAACATGCAAATACATTAGTTTTTTGACTTTCATGAAAAATACCAAACCACTATAACTCCAACAAAAGTAACAGAAGCAAACAGTTGTCTGACTTATTGGCAAATTATTAAAAATCTGGAAACTGTATTTCAACTCTAAATATAAGTAAAAGGCTTTTGAAAAATAAAATGAAAAGCAGATCTGGGGCATAATGTGCCTTTTACTACTAAGATCTTATAGTATAAATATAAGAACACCTATACAAAGCTTCTAGTACAGGCATCGCAAATGTAACACACTACACTCCAAGGGCAGTTACGTGATAGTTCGCCAGTACGTGCTCTAAATAGTGTTATTACTAATGTGCAAATGCAGTAAGGTTGGACAGCAATGTCAAAGAATGGCATCCATGCACAAGGAATTATCACCAAAAGTACAGAATGTCGTATATAAATGTACTGCTTCAATAGTCCAAGGGAGTAAAATTGTACGGATCTGCAAATATACATTAAGTTTTGTTATCTTAATATTATTTTTTCGGACGAAGTCCGACTGTTATCAGTTTGACTTCCTGTAAAATTAACACTGAATATGAAAAGAATTTTCATTGGTCATTTTAGAATTGCAAACTGAAAACAGTGAATCGCATTGGCCATCTTTTTCTTTTCAAATTATGTCAATATACGGTTTTATAATCTTTATTAAATTGGATAATTCATATCGAACAAGTCAAGCAACAGTAGTTCTGTCTGGTATTGCATATTAATATGTTTTACAGATTATTCGAAAAAATAACTCGACACTTGCAAGTGTATAGAACAATTATAGCAGTAAAATCTATCTAATTACTTTTTTGTCTGGTATCTTTTTCTTTCAAATTATGTCAATATACAGTTTTATTATCTTTTTTAATTTGGATAATTCATATCGAACAAGTCAAGCAACAATAGTTCTGTCTAGTATTGCATATTAATATGTTTTACAGATTATTCGAAAAAATAACTCGACTCTTGCAAGTGTTTAAAACAATTATAATAGCAATAAAAGCTATCTTATTACTTTCTTGTCCTCTACTCTTGTAAGTGTTTAAAAATAGCAATGAAAGCTATGGAATAATAGATTAAAAGTCTTTCCTTTTAATATCATGTTTCAATAGTTATTAATAGTTATTTGATGTACAAATAAAATATCATCCCTTAATGATAACCACCAAATTAATAATACTACGTAAAATATTTTTCTAGCGGAATTTATTCGCGGAATTTCTCTTATACCTTTATATGGTACATAAGTCGTAAGAACTTTTTTTAATTCTCATACTTACTTTGGGTTTTATTGTTGCACATTTCCTGCGGTCCTTTGGGACGACAAAAATAGTAACGCTAGAGATCCAATTTAAACTAATTAAATTCTTCGTCTACGACGAATTAAATTTTTCACAAGGAATAATATATAAGCTAATAATTACTTATGAAAATAATTAACATGCATTGAAAGCAATCATATTGGTTTTTTGGAGCCTAATATTTTGGGATTCCCTGGGACTCTAAATTAAAGTTCCTAGTAGAAACCCTGACTTACGATTTTTGTGTTTTTTTTGTTGGTTTTTTTTGGATATCATATTTCTTTTTTGTTTTACGGTTCTGTTGTGATCAACATATGGTTAAGCGGTAAACTATGCTAAAATAAGATCAGAATTTAAGGATACATTAAAAATTCTTAATCTTTGTCTGTCGACATGACTGTAAATTATTTCACAGGTTAATAAACGTATATGAAGCTGAAAATGTACTTATGAATTTGATAAGATTTTGACACAATTGCATTGAAAGCAATAAATATGGGTGGTTTTTTTTATAAATAGAAGAGATAAAACCAAATAAATTAGGTTGTTGATTTTAAATTACAAAACATATGTACTTAATTTCTTAGTGTTGTTAGTTGGACTCATGTTTTTGACATTATATTGTATCTTTTATAATAAAATTTGAAAAAAAGAGTGTATAGAGTTTTGTTATTTTCAAAAACATGTCTGATATATTTTTATAACAAAATAATATCAGGATCAACAAACAAACAAACACCGATATTTTTATAACAAAAAAAGCGGTTGATTATTATATATTATTACACAAGTGTTTACTTTTAAGTGCAAAAACATGCACCTATTCAATTATGTAAATAAGAATTTATTAACATAACACAATTCATACTTACTCAATTATTCTCAACCAACATGTTGAATTAAATTTAATTGTGTAATAATCTATACAATTATTTATTTAATCTTTTTCTTACTATCCACACCTCACAGTTATGTTTACGGTTCACCACATGAGTCAATGAGACCAATAAGTTTAACTGGAATCATTTAAGGTCAAAGAATTCGACTAAGTAATATGTGTTAATATTGACGCCAACAAATACCATGAAGCGCAATTTTTCAAGTAACCGAATTTCACAATTGTAATAAGTAAAAGTATTTGTCCATCGGTACGTGTAAAGTGTTTCATTATTATTATGTACATAAAATATGTTTTAAAGGCCCGTTTAGCCTCCGATATTTTTTTGTTTATCTTAAAAGCATTTTGTGTTTGTGTACCTGTTATACTTTCGAAAAAAGTACTCGTTGGCTTTTGATTAATTAATAACCTGTATTTTTTTGCTTTTGTTGCTATTTTTTGAAACGAAACTAGTTACACAAAAGTGATTTAGCATTTACTATGGATGTCAAAATACTACTAATAGTGTGATACCTAGTTTTGAATTATTTGTCATACTATAATGAACTTTTCTATCTGATAAAATCAATGAAAGTGATAATTACACCAGCAAGTGAACATTTAAAGACGTTATCGGTAGTTTTTTTTTTGCGCAACTTATTGCGCATCAAAGGAAAATAATCACGGGTAGATTAGTTTACATTGAATCCAAGTAAATAATGTTGAGATCCTACTGGGGTTTTAACATTATTATAGCAAACAAACAACATAGTCTACACTGATTTATGTCTTAAATTTTGAGTACTACACTACCCCAATATGTCGATATGTAAATATGTCAGTTAAAAACGTTTAAAAAGTATTTTTATTAATTACTTTTGATATTAACAGTTAAAATTACATTCCTTATAAGGAAAATGATTTGTCTTACTAAAAGATATTCTTATCAAAAATCATTTTCAATTATTATTTAGATTTAATTCCCAGACAATTAATATATAAATAGTAATACATTTTAAATAAATGTCATTCTTTTAAGTGATATAACATCTTTCGTCAGCTATTGAACTTTGTCACCGACCCCCCTCCTCCCTTCTACCTAAGTACTTGTAATATGATTGTTTTGGATTGATTATTAATTTTTTAAGCAATTTGCAGTAATTTATAAATAATTTTTAAATGAAGTTGGATTGAAGTTGGAAAGTAACATACAGTACATGTAAATTCTACAAAAACGTTATCTGTCGTATTTATGAGTAATAAACATTTTATTTCCTAGAAAAGTGTGAAAATTATTGAGAGAAGACATAGTATGCATTAATGTGAATGTGAATATATATTTGCACATATTTAATTAACATGTAATTGTAATGTTCACAGGAATGATGCACAGTGGTTCAGGTCATACACAAGTAGAAAATTTTATGTCAGCTCTGAAAATTGAAGGCCTCCATCACACATCAATGAAGAAACGGGAACTTGAAGTTGAACCTAATATTGAAAATGTTTGTCGTGCTGATGCTATACATGAAGAAATAGAACTTCAGAAAGAAAATGACAGGTAAAATTGTTCAAGAGTGAATTGTAATATTTAATGTTATGTGATGGTCCATGTGGTGATTCAAAGGTCATCATTCACCAACGATACCACAAATAATGTTAATTGTTGTGATATTAAAAGTAATAACAGAGTTGTTTAAAAGAATAATATTTAACATTTGACATCTACATAGTTCCTATAACAATAGTTTAAAGTTTAAATTTAGCTGAAAATAAGTGATGATTAATAAATGAACACCAGAAATGTAATGTCAAGGTCTGAATTGTGAATATTAGCCTTAAGTTTGGTAATGTTCAGTGATTTTAGCGATTTTGCCATGCATTATTGCATTCATTTTGGTGACATCATCAAATCATGATCTAACAAGGTTCATATTAAAAAACATGTTCTGTGCCATTTCTTAAATAACATTTCATTTTTGACATAATATTTGCAAAGATTTATGTGTTCCCCATAATCATAAAAATCCGTTGTGTGTTCTTCTAAGGAAATTTCCATTCATTGATTATAAATCTAATTTAATTCATTCGCATTAAAAAAAGTTTGGTTTATAACATTGAAATTATATCTTAATAACTTCAAAGTAAAACCATAAAATGTAATTTTACTAACTACTGAAACCATTTAATAATTGGATGCCTTTCTTTTTAAAGCCCTGGAAAATGTGGTGTTGCAACTCCAGTGATGGGTCAATTTAAGTATGATATGGGATGGCAAAAGCGTGGAGCCGGTCGTGCATACGACAGTAATAATGGTATCAGGACAATGATAGGAAATTTATCTGGAAACGTATGTGGGTTTGGTGTTCGGTCAAAAGACTGCAGAAAATGTACTTACCATAAAAAAGGGCAGTTTCCGCCTTACCACAAGTGTAGCAAAAATTGGGATGGGTCTTCAAAATCTATGGAACTAGATGTTGCCGCCCAAGTTGTTATGGACATTGAACAAAATAAAAACGTACAAGTGGGTGTATTGATAATAGATGATGACACAACAACCGCTAGTAAGCTTCGTGAAACGCTTTACCATTCATTTGTCTAGTGGAGTGATATAAATCACACAAGAAAGCATCTTGGCAACAGCCTTTATGCATTGCAGAAAAACACAAGTGCCTAACAACAAAAGTAATTCAATATATTCAAAAATGTTTCAGCTATGCAGTAGCCCAGAATAAAAACAATTCTGAGGGGCTTGCAAAAGCATTGAATCAAATTGTTCTGCATTCTTTCGGATTACATGAAAATTGCAATGTTACTTGGTGTGGTTACATAAATGATCCAGAGAAATACAAACACAGTTCTTTGCCCTATGGTCGAGACTTAGTCGGTGAGGAGCTCCGTACAGATTTAAGCTCAATTTTTGAAAGTTTCATAAAAAATGTTGATAAAATATCACCAGCAGCATCAACAAAAGATGTAGAGTCTTTCAACAATATGATAGCATCAAAAGCACCAAAACGTTGCCATTATTCTTCAACAAGTAGCTTACAGAACAGAGTTAATTGTGTTGTTGCAGAAAAAAATTTAGGCTCAACATATGTTTCCCAGGTGAACAAATCAATTGGTATATCTCCAGGAAAATTCTATTCAAAACATGCTGAACGAAAGGATAATAAACGAAAAAGGCGTTTAGAATTTGAAAATACGCTTACTTTTAAAAAAAGAAAAATTGAAAAAAAAATGAACAAAAGTAAACAAAACGCACAAAAAGAGTTAAGAGAAGGTGTAACTTATCAATCATCAATCGACTTAATAGGTAACAATGAAACTGATATTATTGAAATACCAAAACCAATTTCAGCTCCAGAGCAAAGAAAAATAGAAACCAACACTGACTGTTCACATGTTTATTGTGATATTGAGACAACAAGTCTTTATAAATCATGTGATATAACACAAATAGCCGCTGTGTCAGGGAAAGACAACTTCAACCAGTATATTCTTCCAACTCAACCCATAACTCTTGGAGCAACACAGGTGACTGGATTGACAGTGGTAAATAATATGCTGTGCTACAAAGGAAAGCCAGTACATGCAGTGTCTCTAAGAACAGCCTTGGAACAGTTTTTAGTTTGGTTAGAAAAAAGAAATCCATGTGTACTGATAGGTCATAATTTTAGAATTTTTGACTTCCCAAGGCTAGTAAGGTCATTTGAACTATATAATTTATTAACCTCTTTTCAAAACTGTGTAATAGGTTTTGTGGATACTCTGCCTTTGTGTAAAGAACAATTTCCAGGTTTAGATAAATATAGTCAAGAATATCGTGTGAAGAATTTAATGAATGCTCAATATTCTGCTCATAATGCCTTTGAAGATGTGTGTAGTTTATAGAAACTTCTCATATTTACTGAAATACCCTCTGACCACAATTTGTTGTCATAGTATAACAATGGATGCAGCAATAGACACCTACATATTTGAAAAGAAAGCTGATGTAAACTTGGTATCTCTAAGTAATATTCAACAGGAACAAGTTGTTAGTAAACAAATGGCAATGAAAATAGCCAAAAGTAGTTTGTCATTAGCACATCTGAGACTTGCAGTAAATCGTGGAGGTCGTGATGGTTTAAACAAATCATTTACCGAGAACGTAAATTGAAAAGAAAAAGTTACCTCTGCGAAAAGAATAATAGACAGTGCGTTCAGTTATTTATGTCCGACTTCTGAACCTATAAACATCTCAAACCTATGTGTATATTGATATGTGTAACTCTTGAATGCAAAATATACATGTGGTTACAATAAAATAAACAGTTGAACAAAGTTATTATCAACATAACTGCAAAATGTGGACAAATTATTCCAATAATTTATTTTCATTACCTATCACCATCACAGTTTATCTTTTCATTTATGTTATTGACAAGGTGGTTGTTGTTCAGAGGTAATTTTAAACACAAATTGTCTAGAAATATGTACTGAAGTAAACATGACTATTTCAAGCAGTGTTCTTGAAAAGTTTTTTTTTTAATTCGCTACTTTTTGTATTATTAGTGGAACGATTACCGTGGATACCAGAAAAAGGTATGTCTGTAGTTAAAGTGTTTATGAATTTATGAAAGCAATGTTCAAGTAATTTCATTTTTTGTGGAATACTTGCTTTTGTTATTATTTGTTTGTGGAGAAACTTTTAAAAGAAATAAATATGGCAGACTTATTTTTAAAAAAATGTTCAGATTCACTTCATATAACATCAAAAGAAAAGTGATTTGTAATAAGTTTGTTTATATATAACAATGCATTTGGTACAATTAATTGTTTTTAAGAAAGCATGCTTATTTTGACAGAATTGGTATTTGCCGTTACCATTGAAACTGCCAGTTTACAAAGAATCTAACACGTCAACATATATTTTTCTTTTTTATTTTTGAATTCACTATTGAATTTCACATAAAATATTTAAAAAATTAAAAAATTCTATGAAAGAAATGTTTTTATAACTTTATTTATTTACAGGATTCATGTTCAGTTTTCTCATTTTTTTGTTTAGTGAAGAAATATGAAAAACTTATTTTGTAGAGAAAAAGTTATGTTTTGATTATTCTTAAATCAATACAGCACCAAAAGATAAAGATATTTATGTATGAAGTCCTGTTTGTTGTTGATATTAAGTTGCCTTGTACCTTTTTATTGATTTATAAGGAAAATGTGGCAATTTTGAAATTTTGGAGATATATACGGTTACTATGGAAACTGCCATTTGGCAAAAAAAAAAAAAAAAAAAAAAACCAACGCGCCAACATATTTCTTTTTCATTTTTGAATTCACCATTGAAGTTTACATAATATATTAAAAATATAGAAAATTCTATGAAAGGATTTTTTGATATCTTTATTTTTTACAGAATTCATATTGATTTTTCTCATTTTTGTCGAGTTCAGAAATATGAAAAAGTCATTATGTAAAGAAATATGTTCAATTCATTGTTTACTTCATATAGAATTTAAGAAAATAAAGTTATATATGTACAAAATAATGTTTGTTGTGTATATTTAGCTGTCATTTTTTTTATTTCTATAGAAAATGTGGCCATTTTGACCGTTTTGAGATATACCGTTACCATGGAAACTGCCATTTTGCAAAAAAAAAAACAATAAAAAAACAACGCGCCAACATACATTATTTTTTTTTTCATTTTTGAATTTATCATTGAATTTACTTATAATACAGAAAAATAAAAAAAAATCTATAAAAGGATTAATTTTCCTAAAACTGTAGAAAATGTCTTTAAACCAGTGTTGTTTATTCTGAAATTTCAACACTTAAACTAATATATCTTAATTTTTACAAATGAAATCATTGACACAGTGATTTTAATGATTCTTGTTTATTTACATAATAAACGCGCTTATGTAAGAGTAAAATACTTAATGCGTCCATTTCATTCCTTCTGAGAACTTTGTTAAGACTGTTATAGAACGTTCCAAATCAGTTTGGCTTCAATATATACAGATATTATTTCGTAAGATCTTGTAATGCCAAATGTGAAGTGTTGCCAATACTATTTTGGCATGGAAGATAATATCAAAAACATAAAGTTCCAATGACTTGTATCTGGTAAATGTTTTTATCTGTGTTCTATGGTTAAAGTATACGTCTGAAATATTCCAAGACACTTTCAACATTGTCAGCTTTGTTAAACTAATATTAAGTTGTATATGCACTTCATTGTTATGAAGTATTTAAGTAGATATAAGCAATTTAATCATATATTAATGTATTTTGTTTGGTGTCTTGATTTGAACATATGTACATATGGCTGGTTCATCTTTATATTTGTGACTTTTTTTAATGCACTTACGTTTACCGCCTACATATAATGCCTAATTTACATTTTCTCACATGTCCAACTTATTTGTAGAATGATGATATAACATTGAAAATGATATTAAATATCATTATAAAGATATTGTAAAGGAAAAAAAGTCACAATATGGTTATTTCTGACAAAGTTTACGAACTATTGTACAACCTATTTAAGAAAGCGGATCGTCAAAAAAGAACCTCACCTGTTGTTTCTCAATGCCAACTCAATTAATGTTCATGCAAAAGAAACAATAGAAATATTTAAAGTGTAAATGGTATATGCACAGATGAAACTCAAAATATATTTCCATTTCCCATATAACCAATCGTGTTCAAATTATTTCTTTACTATACAAAACTGACCAATTATCCATACGACCCACTGAAATTCTAAACATTATCTTCAGAATGTATATGTAGCGTTCGATTTATTTTTGTTATTTTTTTGTCTCAAGTATTGACTTGTCGCATGTGTTTTTTGATTTGAATAATATTTGCTCATTGTATTTAAACATAATTATATTAAAACCATTAAGAACACACACTTTTGAATCGAAATGTTCTGCGAAATTATTACTTTATACAGTATTCTGTACATTCTTTGATTTACATTGTTAACCATGTTTAATGTGTCTACTCCTTATGTTCACAAATCACAGGAATGCACAACAAATGCTTGAAATGTACCATAAACAATGATCGGGACCTAGACATTGTTCATCCCAGAGGACAAAAGTATTCATCTTAATATCTCAATGTTGGTAATAAGTGTCTAGTACAGTGACTTGAATGCAGTTTACAGACAAAGCCTGATTAAATTAAATATTTATGTTCTCTTCATAATGTCGTCATTTTGATATCCAGTGTCACCATTTAGAGTTATTACAGACATTTTATTATAATCTATGTTGAATAAAGAGAGTATAATAATATAAAAGATTTTTTTTTAGAAAATTGGTAAAGTACACATCGAGAGTTGTTTATGTGAATCACTTTATACAGTAAATAATAACAAAACCAATATGAAATTTTAATATTTTTTTCTTATTCGATGGGTTCACATGTTATAATAATAAGTACTTGGAAAGGCATTTGCGGGCATGAATGATAAATAAACTATGGCCAGTGTAATAAAACATTCAGTAAAATAATAGTTAATGTATTAAGTTAAATATATACGCAAGAAAGTGTTTGTTACAAAATGATATATCGTGTATACACAGTAATCTTAGACTAATTTGGATCAACCAACTGTTTACAAAATTAAGATAATGCCTCATGAAATATCAATTTGGAAAATTTATTTTCACTTTTCTTGGCATAAAACCAAGGTCACACATGAAAATTACTGTTAAATAGATGAAAAATGAGGTTGTTAAATAGAAAAAAGAATAAGAAACTGTAAGAAAAAGAGAATAAAGATCAACAAGGCAATGGCAACGTTAACAGGATGCAGCCCCCGACACACCCAAGCTAACACAGCAGAGCACACAGTAGGCACGACATTAAAACCGGCAAGGTACGGAGAAAGGGAGGGGGTCAAAAATGGAAAAAGTGAGGGGATACTTACAGTTAAATTCAATTTAATAAGGTTGACATCACAACACATACAATCATTCAATACAAGTAACATTACATGCATGTGCAACACGTGAAGGAACACAGAGGGATACCGCCTTTGAACGGTCAGTGGTTGTGAAAGATGAATCTATTACTTTTCGTTACTTTTGTCAAAATTGCATATCCCTCTTAAAACAAATTAATCAGTCAGTAAAATTTGATCCTTTTTGATATTCGAGGATTTCTTTCTTTGTGTTTTACTTTTCATAAACACATAAGAGGTCATATAGCGATTTCTCAGTAAAATCATATAAATGAATACCACCGAAGTTTCTTAAGCTTATTAGATAACTTACTTACTTGAAACTATCTAAAGTCCCTGACGGCATCCAAACGGACAGCGATGAAGGGCAAGTAGCGTGGTGTCGTCCGGCCATAATAGCTTAAAAAATGAAGTATATTGCGACTGAAAACCAGTGATGAATCAAAAATTGAAACAGAAAAACAACTTTATTTACATTTGATCTGCACAAAGTACATTATCATATTCACCATATTACAATTAGATGTCAATATATTTTGACAAGTCAATTTGAACATAAATAACAAATGTAAAGCATCGGACGTCAAAGTAAACGATGTACGGACAATTTCATTATTTCCATTCCAACTAAAAAGGGAAAAGTTAAAATATTTCTATTTTCTGATGAAACTGTAAAGTACTCATGATAGTAAAATAAAAAAAAATAACAAACAAACAACAAAAACCACAAAAGAAACATAACAAAAAAAGCCACAAAAGAAACAAAAAAAACGCCACAAAAACAAAAAGAACAACAAAACAACATAAATTTCAAACGTTTAAGAGACAGACAAGTGTTTGTTGTTAGTGATTTTGTGTGTAAAATCAAAATTTAATATGTTGTGTTTAAGCAAGTATTTGAGGCATGATAGTATTCTATGTATGTCATAATTACTGGTACATTTCAGAAAGCTAATCAAAGAGTGATTGAAAAAAGTTGGAAAACAAAACAACATTAAATTGTAATTGAGCAAGAACATATTGTATGTTTGAACGCTCCCTCAAAGATAAACAACGTGGACACATGATAACTAATAATGATAATTGATAACT